CAGTACGAGGGATTAAACCCAAGACTTTAACACTCAGCTACATCTCCAACTCTTTTTTAATTTTAATTTTTCTATTTTAAAATTTGTGATAATCAAGAAGATAGCTTATTGGCATAAGTGCAGGTACAAAGTCCTAAGTTCAATCTCTGGTTTAAAAAAAAATTGAGACAGGGTCTTGCTAAGTCATCTCAGCTGGGTTTGAGCTCTTGCTCCTCCTGCCTCAGCCTTCCACAGTGCTTGGACTATAAGTGTGTGCCACCACCCTTTTCCTGGGAACAGTGTTTCTGACTTCCACCTCAGTGTTCTGGTAACCAGTTGCTGTAAAAACAAACAAACAAACAAACAAACAAACAAACAAACAAACAGCTTGGATAGTTCTCACAGGAGAAAACCCCTGCAATATGGAGCCAAGGTCAGCTTTAAGAAACTGGCATAGTTGGCTGCTGACGTGCTCTGATTTTAGGACCAGGCTTTCTAAAGTGTTTGCCCTTCAAAATCACTCACATTTGAGGCACTGGTTTGGAATTGGAGAGTCTCTTTTAAAAAGACCGCTATGAAAATGCCATGCTAGTATCTCATTGTATCATGCATATGTCACAATTACTTAAGATCTAAGAAAAAATATAGTGCTATGGTCAGGGTTTATAAGGAAAAAGATTTAATGCAGTACACATAATTTACAGGACTATTTTATAATGTCCACCCAAAGAGTCAAATGCAAAACAATAGGGATTTCTGTTGACACACTTGAGACCCAAAGAATCCAGGTAAGGGCCTGGATCCCATGGCCATGTCCTCCATGAGTCCAGCTGGAGGCCTAGAGCCCACAACAATGCCTCTTGCAAGTTGGTATCAAGGATCTTCCCTGGGAAGTTCCAGAGGTCAGTGGTAGAATATAGGGAGCCACGGAAGCTAAACATTGATCACACGTGCAGGGGGTGAGAGTAGGCCAGCCCTGTGGGGAACAAAGAACACTTGAGGCAAGCCATGTGGACGAGCTGCTTTGGTTCAGACACCAGGCCTGAAGGCAATCCAAGCAATAAGTTGCTAGGCAAGAGAGGTGTTGTGTGACACCACCGGCCCAGTGTATAAACAAATGCACTGTGGTGGCTGAGCAGTTCATTTCCTTTCATTCAGAGAGGGCTCCATGTGACCTCAGCTTTCTGTATGCTGTCTCATCTTTATTTCTTCATTTGATCACTGTCCTTCCCATAGGAATTTTGAGAGCCTCAAGAGCCAAGGTAGTGGAAGCTAGAAAGTCTGTGCCAGTGGGGTGAAGGATCTGTGCAGCAGGCTGAGGGATCTGCACTGGAGCTAGAAAGCAACACGCAAGGTAAGGGCCAGAGCTCTCGCCTCGAAAAACCACAGAAATCAAACAACACTAGAGAAATTTTTCCTTCTTCTACTGAAGTGCAAATTTCTTTAAAACTATGCATGTGAGAACCTTGAGGAACAGATTAGAGCAGGTGAACAATTCAGTATTTAAAATCCAAATGTGATTTCCTTTTAATTACCTTTCTGGAAAACTCTTCAACATAGCAATTACTTTGAATTCAGTTTCAAATATTTTCACCCATCACTCCCGAGAGCCTAGACTGGCTAACATGTCAGTCCTGGCAGTGTGAGAGTACTGCTGGAGAAAGTGTGAAGGGCTGGATGCCAAATGGCCAGAGCAGTGAGGCGGCCCTTGGAATGATGAGGCCCACTGCCTGTTCTCAACCCCACTTGCTGTCCTGCATGAACTAGTGTGGTGTGGTTTGGATGATGATCTTGTATATCCCTATAGCATCTGTCCTTGAGGAGAGGCTAGCACTTTGTAGACATGACTTCGTTTATGAGCAGCATTCCTAAGCAGGGAGAGGGCCAAGAAAATTATTATTATTATTATTATTATTATTATTATTATTATTATTATTATTATTATTATTACTATTACTACTACTATTGGTGCTGGGGAATTGAACTCAAGACCCTGTGCTTGCCAGGTAGGCCCTTAAATCACTAAACTGTCTCCCCGGCCCATAAATTCTTATTTTATGGTATTCTATTGTGGTGAGAAAGCACTGGCAATCCAGAAGGAGAAAATACCATGTTCCAAGCAACACCCAAGTTCAGGAGTGCTGTCCAGCTTCTTTCAGAGTGAGCTGCGCCCTGCGGGAGTCCGGGGCCTTCTGAGCCGCTGAGCACACACAAGCAGGTAGTATGTGGGGTACTTCAGCTGCTTGCACTCAGCTCTGGTTTTGGTAACAGCATCTCAAGCTCCTGGAGGAATAGATGGCCCCCAGTTTGGTCCATTAAGGTCAGAGAACGGGCCTCTGGCCTGGTTATGCGGAGCCCGGGTGACTTCAACCCCCCAAGCACTGGAACCGGAACCAGATAGAAGCCACGTCCGACGTCAGCTTCCTTTGCAATAGAGATGGTGTTCTGGTCTCCAAAGAGTCTTCGTGCCATTTTAAAAACCATCAAGACTTAGGCAGGAAGCAACACGTTCTTTATTAGAGCTCTTAGGCCTCCACAGTCTCCTGTCTTCTCTTGGTGGCTTACTCCCTCCTTCGGCACCACACCCCAGCTCCTCATCACCTGTAAGGTAAGTGTCCAGCTCCTGAGATGAGTGGCTCTGGGCATCGATGAGGGGATGAGGTGGTGCCACAGCACCTTGGGAGGTGGAGGCAGGTGGAGGCTGGCATCACACCCTCCCTAGTATGGCACCCTGAGGCTGTGGCCCGACCCGTATTTCAGCACTGCCCCACCTGTAGCCATGTGCCCCGGTGCACGTGGCTGTTTGCTTCCCCTCCCACTGTGCTTTCTTTTCTTGGCTCTGAGTCTTTCTGCATTTTCCCTGGAGCAACTTCCCAAATTGCCCAGAAAACGCTTCTGCATCCTC